TAAATAAGGTAATAAAAGTAAAGCAAATAGAATAGTGCCTGGCACATAATAAGAATATGCTGTTATACAGCAAATGCCTTCCTTATAATTTTTTCCTCCTTATGTTTATTTTTCATAGTTTAATTATACCATCTAAAGATATAAATCTTCCATCTATGTATTTTAAAGTTCTCACAATTTCTGAATCATATGCACACAAGTCATTCTTGTGCTTTCATCTTTTCCTCCTGAATCCCTTCCCACTTCTTTGGTCTTAGTACCTTTTTTTTTTTTTTAATCATCCTTTTGGTTTCACCCTCCAGCACTAGCCCCAGGCCTTCCTGACCACACGTCTTGAGGCCAAGTAGGGTTTTCCCACCAACACACTCGGGAATATTTGCTCCATGTCTTGTGTTCCCTGTAAGGTGGTGGGCTCATGGGAGCCAGACCAAGAGTATCTTCCTCGAAGCTGTGGCTCCAGTGCCCCACTCTGACCATGGGCATAATAGGCACTTACCACTCACTTATTCAATGGAAAAACGCAGATGGATTACCAGACAGTCAGCCTCTAAGAACCCAGTTTAGAACAATCTTGAAAGGTAACAATCACCTGGAGAAAAGGTTATCTCCCTGTACTTTGGACCAGGCCCTATGTTAGGTAACAATTACTCTTCTAAATGCTGGAATGGGTTATCAGGCTGATAAAGTGAATTATTGCTTTTATGGTTTTAAATTTAACCTTGGGATCAAGCTTATTTACTGGTTCACGGAAAGCTTTGGGGGAGGGAGGGAGAGGGAAAAGCTTTCGCTCCCACTTAGCAAGGAAAGGGTCATAGGCTTCAAATGCTAAATCTGAAAGTTAACTCCTGCAGAAAGGACATGGTCTCAAATCCTTCTTGTTAGTCTGTCTTGTTCTTACTATCTTGTTCTTCCCTCACCCACCCCACCCCCGTAACCAAACAAAATATATATAACATGTGGGTATACATATACAAAGGATATACACACAGATATAGTATATGCGTGTATGCATATCAGTATCACACTTCTGTGAAACTCACCGAGCCTTCGCTGGCTCTTTGAGTCTATCAGGCCTGTTTTGAGTTTTCAATTAGAAAAAGGTTTCTGGCAACTTTAATCCTGTTACAGTTTCAAATAGTTCTGTGTCAAGTAGCCAAAGATCCTCTTAAGCCAATCTATAACTGTAAACAATACAAGATCTTTGCTTATTCATTCATGTTAATTTTTACTACATGCCACAGTTCAGCCTTAAATTTTTTTTCTTAATAGTTTAGTCATATTAGAACAGGATAGCTTTCAAACACAGTTATATAGTGGGTTTTTTTGTTTGTTTGTTTTTTGTTTTTTTTTAAATATATTTTATTGATTTTTTACAGAGAGGAAGGGAGAGGGATAGAGAGCCAGAAACATCGATGAGAGAGAAACATCAGCTGCCTCCTGCACACTCCCCACTGGGGATGTGCCCGCAACCAAGGTACATGCCCTTGACCGGAATGGAACTTGGGACCCTTGAGTCCGCAGGCCGACACTCTATCCACTGAGCCAAACCGGTTTGAGCTATATAGTGGTTTTATTCATAGCAAGTGAAATAAATGTCTTACACCAGAAGCTCAAATTTTAAAAAGCAAAATAAACTGAGTTCTAAGTCATGGAAAAACAACAACAACAACAAAAACCCTGATATCTGTAAGTACTATTTTAAGCATCCCAGCTAAGAAGTATAAATTCACAAATTGTCTATTACATAAAAAGTGTTGGTTGGTTAGGAAGTAGCTTTGTCTATGAATAATTTCATCTCATAGCAGCTTCTCTCTTCTATCTTGTGTTTCTGTAAAATGTAAAAGGTTGTATTTTATTCACTTAACGTTAGTTACGTCAACCATATTTATTCCAATCAAAAAACATAATCATAAGTTTGGAACCAAGCATTATAGGTTATCTCTACATAAACATGATGAAATTTTTCTTTTGCAGGTGCAAATATTGGCATTACGATGAAAACCTGCTCGTTTCCAGCGTTATCATTGTTTTCCATAATGAAGGATGGTCAACCCTCATGAGGACAGTCCACAGTGTCATTAAAAGGACTCCAAGGAAATATTTAGCAGAAATTGTATTAATTGATGATTTCAGCAATAAAGGTAATGGCTATGGAATTGACAATTTGTCCATAAAATAAGTTAATTATGAGTAATTGCAAAAAATGTGATTTCAAAATAATTAGTCTTTAAAAAGTAATAGCATCTACTGATAGCATCTATTTCAACAAGTTGGCACTATAGCAAGCATTCTGTAAATGATTATTTTGTTTAATCCTGACCATAACCTTTGCAATGGATATTGTTATCTTTATTTTACACATGAGGCTTAGAAATGTTAAGTAACTTACCAACATTCACATGCTATTCCTGTCTCAATAATTAATAGCAATTAATAGCTGGAATCAAATCTACAAGCTCATAAGTCTGTGTATTTAACCACTATGTTACACTATACCAACTCTTTGGGCCTTTGATTTTACAAAAGTTTTGTCATGGAGGTAATTTATTGAAAGACTGAAAAATGTAATTGCACGTATACTGTAATGCCACCTGGTGTTCCAACCATAGTTGTCCAACTAAAATCCATATACCTATTTAATAGCCTATAATTTGCATTTTAACAATACGTTGAATTTAACCAGAAACCATGGACTGTTTTTATTTATAATAGAAAGTATCCACTAAAATTTATTTTGCTTTATATTTGATTTAATATATTGAATAAAAGGAAATTGGTTGGTTTTTTTATTACTATAGCATTTAGGGAAGTATTGGCTAGTCTTGATTCAACTTGGCAAGAGAATTGATTTTTGCCAATAATGGGTTTAAGTTAACATTTTTTCTTTAAATATATTATTGTAAGCAGAATATATCTTCTTAGTGACATGAGTATCAAAAGATAGATAATGCTATAGCTCAGACCCCAAAGCAGCATCCTAAATAAAAAATGTAGTTGTGCTGCTGAAACCCAGATATGGGCATTTATTCTTCTTTGTTTGTCACAAAACTGAATTGGATCCTTTGAAATTTCATCAAAGAAATCAGGCTAAGTAACAATAGGATATTTGCTTTTTGGCAAGTAAGTTTTGCAAACAATTTTTGTGTACAATTAGTAATACCACTGACCATATGTCAGAAGACAGAACATGGGTACCATAAAAATATAATTCAAAATGGTTTTACAAAAGCTTCCTCCAAAACTTCATTTAGAGCTCTTTCTGTCTGGATGCACCTCTATGTTTAGACCATATAGGCATGTGACCAGATCTTGATCTTGTATACATATGCCAGCGTGGAGAAGAAATAGAAATATGGCCTATTTCCTTTTCCCCTCATTTTGTTCAGCTAATCACTTTTTCAACTACTCATTTTTAATTACACTAGAGAATGTATAACTTTAACTTTTTCCGTCATATCAAATGCCTTTAGCTTAGACATCTTACCTTGGTTGCAACTTTCATGACAGGAGTGTAGTCATTAAAATACTATTCCTGTCTCAAGATAAATGCAGGGTGAGGCAAAAAGTAGGTTTACAGTTGTTCTAATGGAAAATAATACAATAATTAATAAATAATAATATTAGAATAAACTGTTTCACATACTCAACTGTAAACCTACTTTTGCCCACCCTATATTTAAAAATGTTTTACCGTGATATTATTGGTACCAACAATGTTTTAGATTTTGAAAAACTTAAACCTTATAAAAATGACAGAAATCCCATGTCTATGATTGTTCTGGTTTTAAGAAGTCCTATGTTATTAACACAAGTAAAACTGTGCTATACTTAGCACATTATAAAAAAAGAAAATTGTGAAGATACACCAAAAATAACTGCTTGGCCCCAGAAAAGGAGCATAAAATTTTGCACTTAAGATTTTTTGGTCCATTTTACTTGAATTTTTTTGTGATCAGAGCTTGTTATTACGAACCTCTAATATTTGGTCTCTTATACATTGTAAAGTCCATCACAGGGCAGGGTCTGCTTAGCTTATAGCAGTAGGAAATACAGAGGGCTTTAATTAATTTTCCCAATTTTAAAACAACCTTAAAATCTGCCAGTCCCCTTCTCAGTACTAAAAGTATATAGTCTTTGGTAAATCTGACTGGAGTGAAAACTGACTTGTTCTTTCCCCCAATAAGTTCAGAAACTAGAACTTTGAGTTATAAGTTTTCTTATTTTAAAGATAAAATACTTTACTAATATAAAACTTCACAAAGGAGCTGGCTGCTCATAGCACTTGGGTTTCTGGAAATTAGAGTATTCTCTTAAAATAAGGTTTGGGGCCATTAAATTGAGCACACCCCTGCTCACATGTGCGTCAGCCAGCTGAGACTGAGTGGGGCCAAGGCAAAATGCACCCCACACTCTCAGTGGCTTGTAACAACAATGGGTTATGGTCCTGTTCTCTTGCTCTAACAACGCATTCCCTGCAGGTCCGCCCTGCTCTGCCCCACATCTTCACCACAGGGCCCGGGCTGGCAGAGCAGCCTGATGTCAGACATTGCCTGCCTAAGACGCAGAGGGAACAGAGAGACAGGGTGAAGTGCTAGTGGGATTTTAACAGTTCCACTCACAAGTACCTTGAGTCATTTTCAGCCCCTTCTCATTGACCACAGCAAGTCGCATGGCCCAGCCTGACATCAGTGGGTGGGGAGGATAATCGCTCCCTGAGGAAAGGGGGTGAATACTTTGAACATGAATAGAGTGCACTCTGCCATAGGGTAAGATCCCAAAGAAGCCAGAAGTCATTTCACTCACTAATTTCCCTTTGGGGCCATCTTTCTATGCATTTAAATTTGAAGAACACGCCATCAACTTGGTTTTGGCTGTAAAAATTTGTTACAGATTTATTTAAATAAAATCTCCTACTGCAATTCAGAAGGGCCTTGAAAAAAAAACTTTTAAGAAAAGTTTAAGTTGAAGGGAAAATTACTTAGATTTTTCTGGGGGGAAAAATATAGTTTGGCGTGAGAATTTTGTTTATAATTGTCATTAAAAGTGGATGCCAAAAGGGAAATATTTTTCTTCTCAATTTTGAATATCCATGTGTGGGTGTCTTGATAATTATAAGGTCTCTAAAAATGAGTAAAGTATTAAGTACAGTCTGATTTGCCCATTTAACCACTAGCTCATCACTAAATACAGCTATGTTTTCATCTGTTTTTGTATTCATGGACTAAAAGTTTAAACAATTTAAAAATAATTTTTTGTCCACAAGAAATATCTCTAAGGATCCAGGAGCTAGTCTTGGTTGTGAGGAGCCAATTTCATGGGCTCATAGTGATGCAAACAAAAACTGTTCTCTTACAACTGGGAAGCCAAGATGGAAACTTGGCAAATGTACCTTGTTTTTTAAAAATATATGTATTTTATTGATTTTTTACAGAGAGGAAGAGAGAGGAAGAGAGTTAGAAACATAGATGAGAGAGAAACATCAATCAGCTGCCTCCTGCACCCCTCCCACTGGGGATGTGCCCGCAACCAAGGTACATGCCCTTGACTGGAATCAAACGTGGGACCCTTAAGTCCACATGCTGAGGCTCTATCCACTGAGCCAAACTGGTCATGGCTGTTTCTTGTTTTTAGAACACAAAATTTTCTCTATCAAATTGCAAATATTTATTATTTATTTATTGTATATAAATATTATCTAATCTAATAATAGACAAACATGGTAATTGACCGTACAGGGCTGCCTTCAGGCTGCAGCTCCAGGTCCCTTATCCCCACCCCAGACCTGAGAGCACAGTGCTGGGCAGGGGCACCCAGGGGTTTGGGAATGCAGCGCGAGGGGCCGGCACGAAGTCAGCGGGGCTGTGTTTACACCGCCAAGTTCCCCACTTCTGCCCTGGCCCGCATCCCTCCTCCTTCCTCTCAGAGGCCCAGCTCCTGCCTACATGCTTGCTGGTCAGGCCCAACTGCACCGGGGAGTGAGCCATGGCAATCAGGATGGCCACTTCCTGGGATGGGATGGCCAGACCATGGGGATTCATAAGGGCAATGAGGCCTGTGGGGCATGCACAGCCCTCCGGCAGTGGGGGGTGGCCAGCTAAGCTGAGTCTGGCTTCAGTGAGGCCAGTGGGAGCCCCGAGGCCACCCCAACCCCCACAGGTCCTGGGCAGATGGTGGCTCAGTGGAGAGCAGTACCTCTATGCATGGTGCCCAGGGGCGGCTGTGAGCTGCTGCAACCCCGCCCCACGCTTCAGGGAGGGGGAGAAGGCTCGCAGCCACCAGCACCCTAGGCTGCACCGCCTGGCCTGTGCCTCAGCCTGCCAGGTTGGCAGGGTCCAGAGCAGGTGAGCTGTTCCCTTCCCCCAGTGGTAGAACAGGGAGGAGAGCGCTGGGTGCAGGGAGGGGACCTCAGCTGGGATCCTCCTGGTGTGGGGAAGGGCCCAGCCTGGCCCCGGTGGGGAGCTTAGGAAGTCTGGCTAAGTAGGCACTGGTTCATACCAACTCTCACTCTGCCATATTCCTCCAACTCTTCAACTCTAGCCCCCCTGCCCCACCTGTCCAGGGGAACGGGCTCTGGGTGACCTCCCTGAGCTCAGACTGTGGACCCAGAGACCTCAAGGAAGAGTGCCCAGCCGGGGCCGGTGCAGAACTACCAGGGCAGAGTTGCTTTGGTGTCTTGGTGAAGTTTGCAACTGACCCAAGGAGGAAACCTGAGAGGGGAAAGGCCGGGAGGCATGAATTGCCAGCACTGTAGCCACTTGAAAACAGCTCCACTTGGAATGGGAGGTGGT